CGGATGGCAACAACAGATTTGGGGCGTTTAGCTRGTGATTCCGGCAGCAGAGGAAYGAAGGCTGGKAGGGAACAGCAGCAAAGTGACAGCGTATCCCTCCGTATTTAGCGGAAGATTCATCCMGCTCGCCSATRCTATTGGYGGAAGAAGYGTAAAGGCAGCCGCTGGAGTGTCGAATTGCCCGCTGGTTGGTGCGTGTACTGGAGGGGCACTCGTTCGGTCGTACTCATCCTATCGAAAGAGCGGAGGCATGAGGCCAAGTTTGCGACTGAGGGTTTAGCTATGGGCTGTGATACAGGTTTTGCCGGCCATTGAAGCAGCAAAAGGGGGGGGGTCAGTATTGCAGTCTGGGAATTCGTCAAAAGAGTTGATCCAGCGGTTTGACCACGATTGGCCTCAAGGGTTACGTTGTTGAGGTTGGTGGCAGTCTGCCACGGCCTGTGCGCAGGCACTGTAGTTGATGCCGGGGTGCGGACTGTGCTTGACCAACTGTGAGAGGGCTGGCACCGATTACTGAGGTGCTGCCGTCACCACTGTTGACTACGGTGCGTTGTTGTCGGCCACAGCCGACCGGTCGATGGCCATTGCGACCTACCGCGTGGCAGGGATTCGGTCAGCAAGGGAAGGCATTGTGGCGTAGAGGAGGTAACTGGCGTGTTGAAGGGAGGGAGATAGTGCTGTAATCGGGGAAGGAGTCAGGAGGACAACATCTTCGGCAGTTTGACTTTGGATCTGACCAAGCTGCTGAGTTCATGACTGCCATTGCGGGGCCCTCAGGCGAGTCAAGGAAACAAGGCCCTCTCCGGTGAGCTTGAGAGCACCCCTCTGGTATCTGAGAGTCTCAAAATCACCTCTTTCTATCCTTCTTACTGTAAGTCTGGTCTTGTCCTGAGGGGAAGGCGGCAGGCGCGATTGCAACCCGTAGGACCGCAACAAGACTCTGTGGGGAGTCATCCCACCGATCGTAGGAGCTCTGCCGGAGCCTAGGCGAGGCTCTGGAGGCAGGGAATTGACAGGTAACCTTTGCGTTTTCCTTCTATACACCTGAAATATAACCCCTATTTGTACTACCTGATGCATCTCTGACTGAATATATATGGTGTGCAGCCCTATCTTATTTTTGGCTTGACTTCAGGAGATTGAACCAGACTAAGTAAAGGAATGTTTGTGAAGTTTCAGTTTCAATTTTGTTGTTTGTATGAACTCAGACTTTTAAAAGGAACTGCATCTGGGGGAAAGGCAGGATGGGGGTTTGTTTTGCTTGATGGTTGACCGGGTCATTAAGGCTGGGGAGTCCCCATAAGTTTGGGGAAACCCAGCGCTTTGTTTTATTTTGGGTTGCATGGAGAAGTCAGACCCTTCCATAAGTTTAGGGGGTCTGATTACTCTGTAAGCTGGAATGTCCCCATAAGCCTGGGGAGACCCAGTGATGTGGTTTGCATGAAGGGTAAGGCTGTTCTGTAAGTTCAGGTGATCTGGCCGCTCTGACCTGTGAGGGGTTTGATTGTGCTTGATTTTCAAGGACTCAGGGCGCTCAATAAGTTTTGGTGCCTTGGGTTACTTTGTTTTCATTGGGATTTTACTTGTTTCTTTGGTTTCTGAACGAGGAGACCGAGTTGTTCTGTAAGTTCAGGTGGCTCAGTCTCTTCCTGCTCTTTATTCTGAAGAATTAATCTTGGCAAAGAGGCAGACCCTTCTGTAAGTTCGGGGGGTCTGACTCGATGCCACACACATAATGGCTCAGATAGAAACGAATCTGGCAGAGAGTTAAGACCCTTCTGTAAGTTCAGGGGGGTCTAGCTCAAAGCCTCGCACATGCTGGAACCCAATGGTTATAACTTTGGCTATACTTTATTATTATTCTATCTAAGAACGAGCTAATCACACTGTTCTATAAGTTTAGGTGGTCTTACTATAGCCGTATCACAACTTGAAGAAAGTACAACTAAGCATAAAATTGATGGTAAACTGGGGCAGGCTGAACTTAAGTTAGTTCAGTCATATGCAACCTTAGAAGACAAAGGTAAAGATAAATATATATAACTTGGATACTTTAAACAGTTCAGGGCGACTAGAGTGGTCTAGTCATGTGCCCAAAGAAGAGAAAAGTCGTTGTGCCATCTGTTTGTGTATATTTGGCCAAGTCAGAACGCTCTATAAGTTTACGTATTCTGACTCTAGGCCTGGTTAAGTTGACCTTTTCTGTAAGTTCAAGCGGCCTGACCTATGCCTTATGTAAGCCGGGTATCAAGTGTTAAATCATTGAGAGATCGTGAACTATTGTTTATTCAGGTTGACTTTGGGATGGTGAGAGTAGTTACCCTTGTGGTTTGGCCAGCATGTGACTGAGTGAGGCTACTACTTAGTCTGAGTTTCAGTTTTGATAGGTAGTTGCTTTAGTCGCTCGCCACTTGCTAGAGCCATAGGAGGTAGTTTCAATTCCTGCATTTTCTAAGCTAAGTTTTTTTTACTTAGGTCAATTCTCGCATTTTTCTGGGATCTTTTCTTATACTTGGCTTTGTATAAATCTTGGCAGGCCACTTTCTCTACGGGAAGCGCTGCCGAAATTTCTACAAATCCAAAGAGTTAGTCAAATCTTGCCTTGTCCGAACTTGACTTGTCTTTCTGACTTAGTAAAAATATGGGAAGCCTCCCTTTCTAAAGGGAATGTTGGCCAAATTTTTGCTAATTCAGGGAGTTAGTCAAAAGTTTGGCTTGTCAAAGCTTGACTTGTCTTTTCATTATATCTCGCTTAGTAAAAATTTAGAAAGCCTCCTTTTCTAAAGGGAGTGCTGCCCAAATTTTTACTAATTCGGGGAGTTAGTCAAATTTCTGACTTTTCAAAGTTCAACTTGTCTAGATTAAAATATGGCTTGGTAAAATTATGAGAAGTCTTCTTTTCTAAAGGAAGTGCTGCCCAAAATTTTGCTAATTCAGGGAGTTGGACAAAATTGGACTTTGGAGAGTCAAGGGTTATTTCTGATTTCGTATTTGGGCTTATATAAATTCTTAGAGGACACTTTTTCTACGGGAAGTGCTGCCGAAATTTCCCTGTTTTCAGAGGAGTTAGATTATTTTCAACAGGTGGCGCTAGAGAGTATTATAAGGAGGTGTGCTATGGAGGTTTATCCCCCATATGCTGATGATTTAGCTTGGGCATGTGACCTATCTTGTGTTACAGGTCCTTTGGGTTGTCTGATTCAAGGTCATGACTAGATTTAGCTTGATCCCTTGAGGATCATTATCTGTTATCACTGATAACAGGTCGGTTGCCGATCCGTCGGTTTACGACTCAATTCCAACTCACCCTCCACACTCAACCTAAAAGGCTTTAGCCCTGGTGATTTTTATTGTTTCATTAAGGTTTCACCCGGACTTTTATTGAATGGTCATTTAACAAAGGTACTGAGTTTTTATTTAAGGTTGGTTGGACAGGAGGTTGGGGCTTGCATGGCTAAAGCGAGGGGTATGAGTGTTGAAGATGGTTGGGGTTGACTCCGTGTAGTGCGTGGGTTGTCGATTGACTCGTTGATGTGATTTGCATGTATGTGCTATGAATCAGATTCTGGATTTGGTTGCCTGCGATCACATATATACGTATCGCTGTGAGGGACCCCAATGAGACTTTGAGAAGTGATCGTCACATACTTCCCCCTTATATACATATATACATGGGTATACGTAGAGTGGATGTCTGCATGGGTTAAGGGGCCCCGTACAAAAGGGGATACTCAGAAGGTAAGACTGAGAGGCCCAGAGATGACCTCTCCGTTTATTTTTGCTTTCCTTCTTGAGGATTTTCTTAGTCGGACGTTGGTCCTGGGCCGGGATTCGAGGTCCTTGTCCAGGACATCCCAAGCCCTAGGCTCTGCAGGGGAGGGATTTCCTCTCGTGCAAAGCCTATTTGCCTTGCCTACCGAGACGCTCTGACCAAAAGTCGGAGGTCTCGCGGCGGCCGCACGGCTATTCCTTCAGCCGTGCAATGTCGTAAAGGATTAGACCCTCACGACACTTCGAGTCTGACACTTGAGTGTCATAAGCGGTACTCGGATCCACAGGGGACCGCTTGATTATGAACACTACATAGTACGCCATCGTTGCGACTGCTTGCGTACGCCTGCATTGCGAGTCGATATGAGTAGGCCCTGCGTCCGCGCGGTTTTATATAGTCTCGCGCGCGACGCTTATTTATTTTCCACACCGGAAAGTTATGGGTTGGCTACCGAGAGGCTAGGAGCGTTGTCGCGTTGTTTGGGTTGTGTCGTTTTCGTGTGTGTGTGTGTGTGTGTGTGTGTGTGTGTTATTTTTGTAAAGTGGTGTGGGCGTGGTGTGTGGGATGCGTCCTAGTCGTCCGACGACGAGCCTCGCTCGGGACTTCAGCCCCCCCAAGATGTCGGTTCGCGTGCAGGTCTGATAGGCGTATTACCGCACGTACCCCCTATGCTACAGCGAACGAGAAACGCCCTCGGCTGGTCCACCTCTGCGATTGCAACTGATTAACTTTCGTACTGTGGACTGGTAGCTCGACGGGGATACGCCCACTGAAGGGAGGTGACAGCTCCCGTAATGTGAATGTTAGTCGTCCCTCGCGTAGGCATTATCCTGTCGTAGGGGCTCGCGAGAGGTATGGCTGGCGCACTCAGCCAAAGCGGCTTATGGAAGCTCTATGTATATTCGCGACGAAGGATGTAAACCAACTCCTGCGTGACGCAGCCGGGAGGGTCTCGCGCTGCCCTGATGCGGTGCCGGACCGATGCGTGCGACAGGTGGCGCCGTTGCCGGGGATAACGGAAAGCCTACCGTTGTCCCTGGTGGAACGACATCCGGGTATGAGAAGTGAATAGGAGAAAAAAAAAAGGCATAACGGAATGACGAGAATGTAAGAAAAAGTAATGACCAAGTATAGGTGAGGAAGTTTACCTACCTGAGTTAGGGGAAGTATGACGGACGATCGTGTTAGCATTGGGTAAAGTATGCAGTAAGAGTTAGGTAGAGCGGAAGGAATAGACCGGTCAAGGTGTAATGCTGAATAAAGGGGTGTGCTTGTTTTTCTCTTATCAGGGAGCTTGAGGAGGAGAGTCTGTCAAGATGTCGCAGGGCGGCGGCGCGTCAGGTGCTCCCAAGAAAGGTCTGACGCTCGATGACCTTATCGCGGCTATTGACAGGCATGAAAGAAATCCGAGCAATATCCCCAAGGTCGATACCTTCCATTTTTGTGGGGAGAGAGACTCAGAATGGTTGGAGCGGGTGGAACAAGCTCTGGTCGCGCGGTCGGATGTTGTAAAATTTCAGCGCATTCTCCAGTACGTTCTCCACAGCTACCACCAAGAAGTAAAGAAAGTTATAGATGCAGCCCAAGGTAGCTGGGAAAGATTCAAGGAGGGAATGCAGAGGAAGTACAGGCTGGGAGATGGACTATTGACCACTGCGGACCTCGAGGCAATGAACAAAGAGGATCTTACAACGATAGGGGCCTTTGTTCAAGAATTTAAAAAGAGGGCGCGGAAGGTCCATGGGATTTCGGAGAAAGCACAGTGCGCCATTTTCCTAGGGCTACTCACGGCATCGGAGGCCGTCGAGTTGACGAGACATGGAGGGGGTAGCACCAAGCTCAACTGGGCCACAATTGACAGAGGGGTGGACGTTGGGTGTTTGGACCAGGTAGAGCAACGTCAGGTACGCCTGCAAAGGCAGAAGAGAAAGGAAAGAGATGTGACCGCTTCTGGGACCCTGGGGGTAACAAGGATTGTTACTGACGTATTGGCACAGCTGGGGTATGCGACAGAGCCGGTGGTGCAAAGGAGGGTAGTAACGGCTGTCCAAGTGAAAGGAACGGAGCCGGTGATAGAGGAGGTTGTTCAGGAGGAGCTCTGGGAAGAGGAAGAGTCGGTGCCGCAACGCCTGACGAAGGCCCAGCGCAAAGTGCGTAACTTGGCACAGGGCGGACAGGGATCAGGAAAAGCGCAGGCGCCTCAGGCGGTGGCGGCGGCTCCTCCAAGTGTGGCGGCGCCCTCGTCTAGTGCGGGCCCCTCGCAAGGAGGGGCACCCTCCTACGGACAGTGGCCCTGGCCGGTGATCAATGCGATTCTGCCATGGGGTAGACCGCCGCCAATAGCCGGACCACAAATGAGTATGGCGCCACCCATCTACCCCGCAGCGCAGGCCCAACCTGTGGCCCCGCCGCCGTCACCTGCTCCCAATTCATAGGGAAGCGTGGCTGGAGGTGGGAACCAGGGGCAGGGCAATCAAGGCAACAGAGGGAGGGATGGAGAAAGGGGGAGAGGCAGGAATGGCGGCGGAAGAGGATGGCAATGGAATAGTCAAGGCCGAAGAAACCAAGGCCAGGTGTACCAAGGCCAGGGGAATCAAGGCCAAGGGTACCCAGGCCAGGGGTATCAAGGCTAGGGGGATCAGGGAAGTCAGGGGTATGGGAGACCCCGTTTTGACTGGAGGATGGCCATCTGCCAGCATTGTGACCAGCAAGGCCACACCATAAGGTTTTGTAACTTAAGACGGGAAGACGAGAGGAGCGGGCTGATCTCCTCCACCATGGATGGGAACATTTACGATGAGTTTGGGAAGACCATTGACAGAAGGCTTGGAGGAGTGAGAGCGGAAGCCCAACGAAGGGCGGCAGCCGGGCCGCCACCCCCTGCCACGTTCAAGCTATGGCCGGAAAAGGAGAAACCACCGATTGGGGTAGAGGAAGTGGGGAGCGATGAGGAAGTGACTCAAGGACCACGTGGAGGAAGTAGGAGGGAAGAGCCCATAATCATCGAATCGGATGATGAAGACGAGGAAAGAAGGATGGAATCGTCATCCGTTTTATTGAGGAAGATGGAGGACCTACTGAACAAGGTGGGAAGGTACCAGTAGAAGTTGGTAGACCTCTGCGACGGAGTAAAGAGATGGAGGTCTAGCATCCCCAAGGTGTTCCTCTATGACTCCGGCCCGGAGTCAGCGCCTGGGCGACCCGGAGTAAATGTGGTGGGGTCGTGCCCTCAATCGGGAATGATGGGGAGACCCCTCACTCCGCAGGCCCGGCAAGCACAGGCAGCACGAACGAGAAGTCAAGCCAATGCCAGTGCCAACCAAGAACCTCCGAGAAGGGAGCCCGAACCAGGAAAATGGAAAGAGGCAATGAAAGTTGAGGATGACGATGATGAAGAGGAAGAAGACGAGAGGCTGCGTCGAGAAGAGGATCAGAGAGCGGAGCAGCGGGCAAGGAAAAAGGGGACCAGGGGAGAGGCAAAGTCGGTCATACGTGACGGACCACCCAAAAGGAAGAAGTACGCGGTTCGGTTGGAAGAGGGATTTGACGTAGAGAAAGTGATCGACCAGCTGCTGGAAGGGCATAATGACCTCATGACCCTGAAGGAAATCCTAGCGTCGGCCCCGCGGCTCCGCGATGAACTGAAGGGGAGATTGTCGCGGCGCCTGGTGCCCAATGTCCATCTGGGTACGATCCTGCCCAAGGAGGCTGAGTGGGCGGAGTCGGGTACGAAAATGGACTCGAAGTGTGTAGCCTGCGGCACAGTGGATTTGGTGGTGAAGGGTTCCAAGTGCACAACAATGGTGGACACTGGGGCGGAGATGAACATTATCCGGGAGGCGGACGCGATCAAATTCGGGCTAGATATAAACCATTCTGACTGCGGTATTCTGCATGGAGCCAGCTGCAAGGCCGTATTTTGTGGGACAGCCTCAAATGTACTCATCGAGGTTGGAAAGGTGAAGGCCCGGGCTTGTTTCTTCATTATGCCGGACGTGGATCACGGAATCCTCCTAGGGAGGTCATTCCTGAGTAGGACGAAGACCTTGATGTTCAATAAGAATGACAGGACGTTAATTCTCCTCCTATGCGACCCTGCCTGCGGGAATTACGATATAATTACATGCAGAAACACAGGACCAAGGAGTATAAGGAACCGGCCCAACCCAGGATCCTTCACGATCGAAGAGTCGGAGGGCGAGCGCCGGAGGCTTCGGGCGGAGCCGAAAGGAGAAGAGGAGGTGAAAGCGTTTTCCCTTAGCCTATCGGACGTCGGAAAGGCCATGGACTTGGTGGCTGCACATGAGATGGCGGATCCGGATGCCATCCAAGCCTTGAGGGAGCAGGTCCTGGAATGCCCCGAGACGGGGAGATTGGAGATGGTATATCGTCTTCCGGACGGAAGGAGAAACCCCGCGTCCGCGCAGGCGCAATCTGTGAGTCGACCTTTTTTAGGGGACGGCTCAAGCAGGGTTCCCAAAGGCGGTACAAGACGGTAGACAAGAAGTGCCGCCCGGTTTCCGTCCTCGTTACAGAGGACGAGGAAGCATATTACGAGAGGGAACGAGGGTTGATACGGCGAATGAGGGAGAGCGCTTTAGCAGGACCATGTCGTATCAACGAAGGGAATGAAGGGGAGTTGATTATAGGGGAGCCCAACTTCCTACTGCCTCAGGAGCAGACATTGATGGTGGAGTTGATGAAGAGGAGGCACAACGCCTATGCGTTTAGTGACGAGGAGCGTGGCATGCTGGATGTGGACAAAATACGTATGATCCGCATCCATACCGTGCTACACGAGCCTTGGAACATGCAAGGGGCGCGATATCCTAATCCTGACGAGGAGAAGAAGGTGGTGGATTACCTCGACGGCAAGATACGTACGCACGTCGCCGACTATTCGAGTGGGCCGTATGCGTCCCCGTGGTTCTGCTTCATCAAGCCTAACGGGACGCTGCGGTGGGTGCAAGATTTGCAGAGGCTGAATGCGGTGACCGTGTGGGACGCTGGAGGACTGCCAAATGCGTATGCTCTATCAGAATCCTGTGCTGGAAGGCCTATAATCTCACTTATAGACCTTAACTCATGATATGATCAGTTTCCGGTCTACCCGCCGCACAGGCTGGTGACGCCTATGCACACGCCGCGAGGATTAATCCACATGAACGTGGCCGCACAAGGGTGGACCAACGCGGTAACAATGGTCCAACGGGCCATGATTCGGGTTATGCAGTTAGTCAGCCCTCATATCACACAGCCGTACATCGATGATTTGGCGGTGAAGGGGCCGACAGTGAAGGAGAGCGACGAAGTCTTGCCAGGGGTAAAGCGCTTTGTTTGGAAGCACATCCAGGACCTCGAAAAGGTTCTGAGCCTGCTCGAGGAGCATAACCTCACGGCGAGCGGGGCCAAATCCAGACACTGCATGAGGGAAGCGACTATCTTGGGGTTCGTCTGCAGCGAGAGGGGCCGAAGGCCGGATGTGAAAAAGACGGACAAGATGACTAAGTGGCCAGTTTCGTTCCACTCAATAACTGATGTCAGGAGCTTCCTTGGTACGTGTGGATTTTGGAGGGCCTTCGTCAAGAACTTCGCCGCTAAGACTGAACACCTAAGGAAGTTAGCCCGTCAGGATCAATAATGGGGTTGGGGTGAAGAGCAAGAAGAGGTAGTGGCCAGAATGAAGGAGGAGTTTCGAGAGGGAGGGTTGGTATTAGGGGCGCCAGATTATGATGCCACGGAGACGCGACCCTTCATTGTCGAAACGGATGCGGGGCCAACTGCCTTAGGGGGAGTTCTAATTCAGGCAGACATGGAAGGAAAGGAAACACCCTTGCAATTTCAGAGCCGGACTCTCTGTACGACAGAGAGAAACTACTCTCAGTTCCAAAGGGAGACCCTTGCTGTTCTCCAATGTCTACGGATCTTCCGGAACTACATCTTCGGCAGAAGGTTTATTTTGAGAGTGGACCCGACCGCCCTCGCGTACTCTCTAAGGAATTACTTTCCATCGGATCCGACGGTTGCCAGATGGCTGGCGTACATCTGGATGTTTAACTTCGAGTTGGAGCGCATTCCTGGTAGCAAGAACCGGGCGGACGGGCTGAGTCGTATCAACTGGGATAACCAGACAGGAGAGGCGGTAGAGAATACGCCCCCAGTTGATGGATTCCTGGATCAGCAGGAAGATGTCCGTCTCCATATCAACAAGTGGTCGCCGCGGGTGCCTAGTTGTGTGGGCTATCCTATTTGGCAAGCACTGAGTGGATACGAAAGGAGGGCATAGTTACTCCTCAAACCCTTTGAAGAAGAAGATCCTTGGGGAGGTAAGGATGTTCAGTGGATGATGGAGTTGGCGCTGTCCAATTCGCATAGTCTAGTGGAAGACATGAGGACGATCGAGGAAGGACCAGGCATGGTAGAACGGCATGAGGATCTGATGGGAGGAATGTATCTCCTCGTCAACATGCTATTGCAGGAAAGCCTCGACCAGTCAGGATCGTTGAACTCAACAGGGAATATGGACGAAGTGCCCGAGAGCCAGGACGACGAGTTCGAGGAAGGGGAGATTAATGAGGCCTTTCATGCAGAAGAATATGATGGGATCTACCTAGAGCTGGGGCTTCTCTTGTCTTGAGAGATGCGGCTAAGGGATGCAAGCGATAGGGCTCAGAGGATGGTGCAGCGCTACTTAGTGCGAGATGGCCATCTTTTCGTAAGAAGAGAAGTGGGGAATCCCAGGAGAGTCGTCTGAGGTAGGAATCGTCAGATCGACGTCGTAGCAGCGCTTCATGATGGCATTGCAGAAGGTCATTGAGGGGTGCAAGCCACATATGCCAAGATAAGTGAGTTGTGCTACTGGGATGGGATGATGGACATGGTCGGGAAATTCTGTCGATCCTGCGTACCCTGCCAGGAGAGATCTTGTTTGAGGCAAGGAGAGCAGTTGCGTCCAAGGCTAGAGCGAGAGGTGGGGGATGTAGTGCATCTCGATCTACTTTTCATGCCGCTTGGGGATCAAGGCTATAACTACATCTTAGATGCACGCGATAACTTGTCTGGCTTCGTAGATGGGCGTGCCATTCGTACCAAGACGGGTTCAGTCTTGGTTAGGTGCATCGAGGAGTACTACCTGCGTTATCCTTTCGTCAGGGAGTTCGTAATGGACAAGGGATCAAAATTTACTTGCCAGGAGGTGCAGGAGTTGTTATCAAGGTATGGTGTAGTAGCTAACTACACCACGGCCGTGCACCCCCAGGCAAATGTTCCTGTAGAGAGAGGACATAGTACCACTACGAGCCTCCTGGCTAAGTGGACCAAAGGCAGGCCTAATCAATGGCCAAGATACCTGAGGGCAACATTCTTTGTCGAGAACATTACAGTGAAAAGATCCACCAAGTACGCACCTGCGACGCTGTGGTATGGAAGACACACCACCTTCCCTATCGAGAGTTTTCTTAAAACTTGGAGGCGCCAGGATTTGGAAGTCGACCTGTCCTCTGAGGAATTGCTCGACATTCAGGCGCGACAGATAGGAGCAATAGAGGAAAGGATCCAAGAGGCATCCGATCAAGTGGCTAGAAGTCGTATGGATGATAAGACTCGATGGGATCAGTCTGCTCGGGTGAGGAAAGTACCTCTGGCAGTTGGGGACGTCGTGCTTCTCTACGATTCATCGCTGGAAAAGCAGTGGTCCAGGATACTTGATAAGAGGTGGTTAGGTCCCTACCGGATCGTACGGGTAGGAGACTTCGGAGCGTACCAGATTGAGGAATTGAATGGGACTGAGTGAAAGGATTGGGTATCTGGAACGCGATTGAAGAAATTTGTGGCGAGAGAAGAGGTAAGAGAGACGACCTGACTACCTCTAGTTAAGAAGCGATAGGTAATGTAGGTCGGATAGGTTGTATGATGCATGAGTATGGTCTGGTCTGAGCTTGCTTGATTATCACATGTTTGCTTACCCCAATGTCTGCCCGTTGTCTCCTTCGCCTGTTGTGCAGGTCTGACTTTACGAAGACAACCATGCCAAGAGGAGGGAGGGGGACACGACCGCCTCGGAGGCCGTTGGGAGCATCAGGAGGATATGAGCGGCATGGGCCTCGCCATTGAGAGAGTACTCTGGTGTACGATGATGGGGACATCAAGCTATTCCTGGACAACTTTTGGGATCATGCGAGGCGTATGGGCTGGATCGTGGCCCAGGCGATTGAGAGACTAAGGGGAGCAGGCAGGTTTGAGGAGCCCATTACCAGGATTCGTAGGGAGGCGACGACGAGGCAGGAGGTGGAGATGAGGATGCAGGAGCTGCGACCTTCGCCCGTGGGACCAGATGGCAGGCCGATCCGCCTAGAGATCGGAAATGCGGCAGACTTTATCCTTGCTTTTGAGTGGTTCATGCAGGGGCAGGGTACACCAAGAGATGAGTGGGCGAGGACGTTACCCCTCTAGACCAGAAAGGCAGAGAGGGCACTGTCTAAGCAGGTCAGAGACATGGCCCGAGACTGGGAGAGCTGCAGGGCACATCTGAGAGAGGCCTTTCGACGGCCAGAGCCCCCTCAGCCCATAGTTGAGAGGCATCTGAGGAGTCAGAGGCAGAGGGACCCTGAGCCCAGGGAGGCGAGGCCATCTCGAGGAGGACGGAAGGCCCTAGCTAGGAGAGAGGCGGAACCAGAGCCGGAGCCAGAGGCTGAGGAGCGAGGACCATACCCTGAGTGTGGGTTGGGAGCAGTGGAGTTCCACCGATTTACCGCAGGAGGATTGAGGAGGTCGCCAGCACGCGTGCAGGAGGAGCCCCCAGCGTCTGAGGGGCCTTTGAGGGAGTTGGAGGCACATTTGGATATCTCTCGGTGGAGAACGTCGCCTCGAGATGAGGAACGTGAAGGACCGGTAGAGGAGGCACCGGCAGAGGAGGTGCCACGAGAGGAGGTGCCACGAGAGGAGGTGCCACGAGAGGAGGTGCCACGAGAGGAGGCGCCACATGAGGAGATACCACGAGAGGAGGTCCGAGATACTCAGCAAGAGAGAGGGCTAGGCCATGGGGGGAGACGTGCAGGGAAGGAAGTGATAGAGGTTGGAGAAGACACGCCCCCTCAGACGCCAGCAGTAGGCTTGAGACTTGGAGATGCACCTGGGAGCATGCGCCAGTCAGGAGAGAAGGAGTTGCAAAGGGAAGAGGCCCCATTGCCTTCATCAAGAAAGGCTCCTTCGCCAGAGAGCAAGGCAGAAAAAAGGAGAAAGAGGGCAGCTGTCAGGAGAGAAGCCTTGACCCTGATCGACAGGCACCTAGCAGCCCATGCCCTAGAGCACCCAGACCTGGAGGAGCCAACACTTGCAGAGCCGCGCCAGGAGCCATGCCAACCCGAGAAGGAAATGGAGGCAGAAATCCCAAAGAGGGTTGACCTCCGCACAAGGGAAAGGGCGCCGGCTGGAGAGACAGGCGAAGAAAAGAGGGCAAGAAGAACCAGGAGGATAGAAGAGATATGGCAGGAGAGGCAGAGGTTGGAGGCAGCGGGGGAACTTCCGGAGCAGCAGCAGGAGAGGCAGAGATTGGAGGCAGCAGGGGCGCTCCCGGGTCAGCCACCCAGCGAGCCAGCTAAGGCCCCAGAGATCCCTGAGATGTGGAGGGACTTCTAGGAGCAGAGAGGAGAGGAGCTTCCTTCGCTAACCAGAGCGGGGTTTAGGGTGGCAAGGAAGGCAGAAGAAAGGTTGGATCGCAAGATCAAGCTCCTGGCCAATACAACTTTTGACCGACAATTGCTATTGGAGAGCGATCTGGCAGGAAAGAAGATAAAGGAAGCAGGCCAGGGGGTACGACTGGAGGCTATGGAGGTGGAAATCCAGGAACTCAGGGCATTGATGGCCAGCCAGGCAGCTATCATCGAGAGCCTGAGGCAGCGATCTCAGGGAAAGGCGGACAAGACAGAGAGCAGTCGGCAGGGAGAGCAGAGGTAGCCAGGACATGGTTTGCCCGGACAGCCATCTGCAGCAGAGACTCGCTAGGAGCCACCTATGGGGAGAGTTATCCTGGAGCCAGAGAAGGCGAGAGCCCAGAGGGAGGCAGAGAGAGAGGCCTTCGAGTTTAGAGCCCCTACTGAGCTCGCGACGCTACCTATAGCAGCGGCGGGCCCAGTCATACCTTTGGCAATTGAGGAGGGGCTACCACCATCCAGCAGTGAGCCAGCTCAGGGCTCGGCAGAGGGATCTATAGACGTGCTCATTGAGGCAGTCAGGGTTGTCACCCGGGGACCCCCGGGGGCAAAGCCGGGGCCGGGATTTCACCCCCGGACCCCCTCCCGCGGGGGCGCCGACCCCCGGACCCCGCTGAAGACCCCCGCGCCCGCCCGACCCCCGGCACCCCCGCGGGACCCCGGCCCCGGCACCCAGCAACCCGGCCTTGCCCCCGGGACGCCCGCCGACCCTAGCCCCGGACCCCAGGTCCCCGCACCCTCCCGGCCCCGGCACCCGGGCCCTGCACCCCC